ATAAGAAAGTAAGATTGTTTATGGAAAACAACTTCTTTTATTATATATAAACAATCTTACTTTCTTATTAGTCACCAACTTCTAAATGCCAATCAAACAGATCATCCGCCTGTCCATTGTTGTCCAGAATTATATATATGTTCCCATTTATAACCAAATTACAGACAGGTCACACAAAATTAAATTCCCATCTACATACAATTTGAAAAAACCCACCAAACAGACAAATGCACACACTGCAACGAAACAGAAACGCCCGAACACATCGTACTACTCTCATACAACACAACACAGAATGGTGCTCCAGAGTTTGCTGGACACTAACACACCATTAACACTACAAACACCCTGAGCAGATTGAATAACACACAAATCTTCAAAGTCTTAGGTATATTTCTTATCAAAACGGGCCTTCTAGGTCAGACATAATCTCACATAACCAACTCGTCCTAACATGAAAAAAGCACACAAACATAAAACCAACAAAACAAGCACCAATCAAACCTTCCCGTAGTTCATCCCCCTACCACTTCCGGCAAAAGTCCAAATTCTAAATTCATTTAAAATTAATTATACAACCCTAACGCCCCGTTCAGGTTGCCATATCTTTCGGTCAGATCACCCCTCTTCCGATCAGACACTGGCCTGGCGGGCCCAAGTGTGAAACACGCATTATGTCAGTGATATAAACACTTTCGTAACCATTGTAACAGTGACAGTACACAAACACTACATGATCTCTATTTATACCTTGTCAATAGTATAAACACTCCGAATTGTACCACTAAAAAGTCTTACTGTGCCTAATTTACAAGAATACTACATATGAATGTGCCCAATGTGTATGTACATGTCTGTGTCGGTATTTCTTTACCAATATATAAACAATTACAACTGACACATTAATTGTCGGCTTTTATCTTCAAATTGTGCTGCTCAGAGATGTAAATTGCAAATGTCTGTATTTTGGGCTTGTGGCATCTTTTTAGAATAAACTGTGTGTCTGTCCTCTGTGTACACTGTTTATCCTTTAGGAACGTGGTACGTAAAATTATTCTATCCGTGTGTTTCAATATTGTGCCGCACTGCTGCCTCATAGGTATAATTCCACCCGATCCAGGAAATATTACCTACTACTAGCAGGTCTTTGTTAGCAACTGTTAGCTGCTACTAGCAGTTACAAAGACAGCCCTTCCGCCCCTGGAGACTAACAATTACTGCTAACAGACACTACATGAAATATTATGACCATATTAGGCATCGTTATATTTCGCATCCAAAGCACGCCATATTGGGCCGAGGAAACACACAGTAGGTTGTGTAGTTTATTTAACCGTAGTTTACAAATCATGAAGCACAGTGCCTTATCGAGTTTGATTTTGCGTGTGTACATGTGATATTTGCGTTTCCAACTGGTTTACTTTATATTATTTACGGATTACAAAGGTACCGTGTGTATCTAAAATTTGCAGTTGTCTAATGAATGTTTTCACTTTTCAAGTGTGCTCTTTATTATCTTCTCTACTCTTTGCCATACATCAACTGTCCACCAACTAATATTGGTGTATGTATCTAGGCTACATTAAATTTTAACTGTATAATTAAAAGTGGGGAAAATAGGTGAAAAATGGTAACCCCTCTCGTTTTTTAAAATTTGTTTCGTTCTTTTATCATTTCGAAATATACACCTAACACGTCACAATTTAATTCTGGACTCACAAAAGTCCAGAAACTCTCTGCACTGTGGGCACTTTCTGACAAGGGATTTGACCAAATTAAACATGCAGTGGTTATGAATATATGCCAAGGATGAAAAAATGAAAAAAAAATCTTTCGAAAACTTTAAATTTAAACTCGCTCGCCCATGGGCAGGCCCATGGGCGAACAGTGGCCCATGGGCCGGCCCATGGGCGAGATTGTTTAATTTCGATCAGAATTCATGTTTTGGAGGTTGTAAATGAATGAGTGTATGTTTGTAAGCATCATGAAACAAATTTCAACTCATTTTGACTTAATTCGACTAATTTAGAGCGATATTAAAAAATCTCGCCCATGGGCGAAAAACATTTTGGCCCATGGGCGAGAATATTGACTTTTATTCAAAATATATGTTTTTCCATGTTTTGGAGGTTGTAAATGAATGAATGTATGTTTATAAGTACCTTGAAACAAAATTCAACTCATATTGACTTAATTCGACTAACTTAGATGGATGCTAAAAAATCTCGCCCATGGGCGGAACACATTTTGGCCCATGGGCGAGAATATTGACTTTTACTCAAATACATGATTTTCCATGTTTTGGAGGTTGTAAATGAATGAGTGTATGTTTATAAGTACCATGAAACAAAATTCAACTCATATTGACTTAATTCGACTAACTTAGAGCGATATTAAAAAATCTCGCCCATGGGCGAAACACATTTTGGCCCATGGGCGAGAATAATGACTTTTATTCAAAATATGTGTTTTTCCATGTTTTGGAGGTTGCAAATGAATGAGTGTATGTTTATAAGTACCATGAAACAAAATTCAACTCATATTGACTTAATTCGACGAACTTAGAACGATATTAAAAAATCTCGCCCATCGGCGAAAAATAGGTTGGCCCATGGGCGAGAATATTTACTTTTACTCAAAATATGTGTTTTTCCATGTTTTGGAGGTTGTAAATGAATGAGTGTATGTTTGTAAGCATCATGACACAAATTTCAACTCATTTTGACTTAATTCGACTAATTTAGAGCGATATTAATAAATCTCGCCCATGGGCGAAAAACATTTTGGCCTATGGGCGAGAATATTGACTTTTACTCAAAATATATGTTTTTCCATGTTTTGGAAGTTGCAAATGAATGAATGTATGTTTATAAGTATCATGAAACAAAATTCAACTCATATTGACTTAATTCGACTAACTTAGAGCGATATTAAGAAATCTCGCCCATGGGCGAAAAACAGTTTGGCCCATGGGCGAGAATATTGACTTTTATTCAAAATATGTGTTTTTCCATGTTTTGGAGGTTGTAAATGAATGGGTGTATGTTTATAAGTACCATGAAACAAAATTCAACTCATATTGACTTAATTCGACTAACTTAGAACGATATTAAAAAATCTCGCCCATGGGCGAAAAACATTTTGGCCTATGGGCGAGAATATTGACTTTTACTCAAAATATATGTTTTTCCATGTTTTGGAAGTTGCAAATGAATGAATGTATGTTTATAAGTATCATGAAACAAAATTCAACTCATATTGACTTAATTCGACTAACTTAGAGCGATATTAAGAAATCTCGCCCATGGGCGAAAAATAGGTTGGCCCACTGGCGAGAATAATTACTTTTACTCAAAATATATGTTTTCCATGTTTTTGGGGTATGGTGGTTTATCCCTTATTATAAACATATTAATTATTACTTTAGCTCTCACCTACCTCATCATATGTAGTCACTAGGCACTTAAAACATTAGAAGTAATGCCATGAAATGTGGCTCGTCAATGGTATGCGTGTACGAACAGATAATATCAAAACATACACGTCAGAACAGTCTTGTCAATCCTATTGACATTTGCCAATAACCACTTCCAAATAAAATAAATAGTCCATGCTGCTTCAGAACAAATAAAGGTCAATTAGGGAGCCCAACTGGGTAATTAAGGAGAGAAGTCAATACACTGTAACTTCCTGCCCAGGACGTCACACGTCACCACTCGGGAGCGAAGGGCCTTGTCAAACCTCCTCACAAAGGAAACAAAAAGCATCAAAACTGTGTTTTTATTCTACGTGACACTCGGTATGTCGTCATAGTATTCATTGTTGAATAACTTCTATCGTGGGCAACCCCACACTTGCGAGGTGTACCTACCCAGGTTCGCACGTTTCGTTTTAATATTTTGTGATCAATTATTTTGTAATTCCCGTCTGCCCGTCACGGCTATTCTTCGCCCGAGGTTTAAGGGAGTGAGTCTATTATATTAATTGTATTTTTATTGTGTCGTTTAACGAGCTGGACACGAAGTGCTGTTATCAAGAATGTTATCATATATTAGTGGGATGCATTGATAGTAATGAAAACTAATAAGAAGATAGTGTACCTCAACATACAAACCTATCCCGATAGCTCTCATCGTCACTCTCATGTCAATCCATTGTGACTGTTGCAGTCCTCCTGTACATCCTGTATATATAAGCAAGTTGGGTTTTTTTATTTAGGATTTATTATTGCTAAACACACATTTAACCGAGATGAAGAAGGGGGTCTCAAATTCCATGTATGCTTTTGCTCTCATAAGTTAGACATCCCATTTGTCAGACACGCCAATTATCAGACAACTTTGGATCAGATTGATTAATGACGCGATTGTCACGTGATGATTTGTTTCAGTTTCATTTATTTAAGTAACCCTTATCATTCCTGTGGTTACATGTCATTATTTTCAACTTTTCATTGTCATTTCTATTCATAGTTTTAATAATTGAATAATTGAATTCGGTATTTAACTCCACATACACATGGATATAGTCAATGAAAATACCTAGCTATCAAGGTTCAAGGTCTTCCTTTTGGTCCATGTACATCACAAGTTATTACAGGTGACCTACTCGTGTACTGTATAGTCTATTGAAATGTTCTCGGAATGTTTGCTACTCAGGTAAAGGTTATGCACTGAAAAAAAGATGCATTCAAAACAAGCAAATTATATAAACTAATTACAGACATTTACAGCGAGACACTTTGTTAAAAAATTGACCCTATCTAACAGACGACCAAAATATGTGAGTTAGTTTTGGTTCGATTCCCCGCATGAGTACAATGTGTGAAACCCATTTCTGGTGTGATTATTTCTAAAAGCGGCGTAAAACCATACTCACTCCCTCACTCACTTTCCACGTACTTAGCCTTGTAGCTACGGGATGTAAGTAATACACCAGCATTTGTAATGGAGTCGTGGTCAACTCAGTGTCAAGGCATTTCTCTATACATTAAAACTTACCTTAACTCAGAGCCAGTTAACACACGTCTGTAATGAAACTTTCACCACAGCCACTATACTCATCGACTGAAATAAACATAAACCAAATACTGAGAATAGTAAATACGTCATTATTGTGGAATCGAAACAAAGACCTAATTCTATGAAACGTACGTGTGTTATCAGAAGTGCACGCGATTAAGCTAGTCTAAACCTTAGTCTCTAAAAACATGTTATTTTGGTAGCAACAAATCACACCATTTAAACTGAGAAGCAGCCACAGTAAATGGGAGATTTAGAGCACGTGGAAAATCGGGAGTTGATTTATTAAGGGCTACAGGGCTTATACATAAAGGCTTGATGGTAGGGGTTGGGGACTGTGAGACAGGCTAGTGCGTAACACTTGTAGGACACATAGATAGCGCACTGCAGTGGGCCGGCTTGATTATCTTTCTATTTTATGAGCTGACAAAACCAAGTGGGTGATCAATAGATACGAGCTGTCACGATCATGCATTGTGCGAAATGAGCTGACGCCTTTTCTGTTACTTCGTGTTATCTTTTCAATACTTCTTATTTAAAGGTGGGGTTGTCAGAGGCATTCAGGACAGGGTCAGCAAAGAATGACAGCATCTAGGGGTGTTTTATTTTTTTTAAAAACAAAACAAATAACCCATATGTTCTTGAAGCTTCCAGAAAACACCCGATCTAGTTGCTAACAAAAATGTGCTAGTTCCGGTAATACTTCCTGGATCGGGTGCATGAACAATATTTAAAAGGACACGAGGAAGAAAATAAAACACATCACAAAAATGTGGAGGGCATTATTGTCAGATTATCAGAATATAAATAACTAATTCAGAGACACCACCAAGCGAATATCAAAAACAAAATATGTCTATGCTGGCGTTGCTTTATACTGGATATTCCGTTTAATAAATATGTTGGTCAGAACAACACTACTTTACTGTCAATATATAATACCTCACAATCAGTAAATAAATCTCACTGTCACTATATACTACCTCACTATCACTATATACTACCTCACTATCACTTTATACCACCCCACTATCAGTATATACTACCTCACTATAAGTATACACTACCTCACCATCACTATATACCACCTCACTATCAGTATATACTGTCTTACATTCAGTAAATAAACCTCACTAACCGAGAAAGTGGTCCATGTAAGCGAGGAAGTGGTCCATGTAACCGAGAAAGTGGTCCATGTAACCATGGAAGAGGTCCATATATTCAACGAAGTGGTCCATGTAACCGAGAAAGTGGTGCATGTAAGCTAGGAAGCAGTCCATATAACCTTGGAAGTGGTCTGTGTAAGCTGGGAAGTGCTCCATGTAACCAAGGAAGTGGTCCATGTAACCTAGGAAGTGGTCCATGTAACCGGGGAAAGAGGTCAATGTAACCGAGGAAGTGGTCCATGTAACCAAAGAAGTGGTCCATGTAACCAAGGAGGTAATCCATGTGACCAAGGAAGTGGCCCATATAACCGAGAAAGTGGTCCATTTAACCTAGGAAGTAGTCCATGTAAGCTAGGAAGTGGTCCGTGTAATTTAAGAAGTGGTCCATGTAACCAAGGAAGTGGTCCATGTAACTAAGAAAGTGGTCCATGTAACCATGGAAATGGTCCATATATTCAATTTAGTGATCCATGTAACCTAGGAAACGGTCCATGTAACCTTGGAAGTGGTCTGTGTAACCTAGGAAGCGGTCCATGTAACCTTGGAAGTGGTCTGTGTAACCTAAGAAGTGGTCCATGTAACCGAGGAAGTGCTCCATGTAACCAAGGAAGTGGTCCATGTAACCGAGGAAGTGATCCATGTAACCAAGGAAGTGGTCCATGTAGCCTAGGAAGTGGTCTGTGTAACCTAGAAAGTGGTCCATGTAACCAAGGAAGTGGTCCGTGTAACCGAGAAAGTGGTCAATGTAACCAAGGAAGTGGTCCATGTAGCCTAGGAAGTGGTCTGTGTAACCTATGAAGTGGTCCATGTAACCAAGGAAGTGGTCCTGTAACCTAGGAAGTGGTCCATGTAGCTCAGGAAGTGGTCCATGTAACCAAGGAAGTGGTCCGTATAACCTAGGAAGTGGTCCATGTAACTAAGGAAGTGGTCAGTGAATGACAATTTTTTTTCACAAAAATGCCTCTGATCACACAGCAGTTAATGGGTACCCAGTAGCATCAGATGTTAAGGTGACTATTGGGACCTTGTAGTGCATCACAAGACAGATAATGTATAGTATATACCCTTATGGATGGACTTGGCTCTCCACAATTCACATTAGTATTAGGTATATATGTATTAGGTATGTGGGGCGCGGTGGGCGAGCTGGATGAAACATCAGGCTAGTGATCCAGCGAGCTTAAGGTGACGGGATCGAGCCCACCTGTGACCGGGTGTAAAAACCTTGGAGTCAACTTTGTGTGCAGACACTTTCCGTGTTGTCACAGCCCCTAGTGTACAGTACACAACCCTGTGCACTTAAAAGAACCCATGAATACGTTGGTATATGAAGAGATGGTGGCCACATGAATACGTGCAAACACCTAGTTACGGGTACAGCTTGGACAAAGTACTGTGACTATGTGTCCCCGTCCACCCAGCTGTGAATGGGTACATCGTTAGGATGAGAAGCCACAATAAACTCGGTGCGCCTAGAGGCAGCAAGAGTTGTATACTCCCAAGGGAGTTGAGATTGACATCCAAAGATCGTGGAACAAAATACCAGCGCCTCGAGCAAGCACTAAGGATGGATAAATGTATATTACTTTAACAAACATGTAAACACAGGAATGATAAGGGTTACTTAAATAAATGAAACTGAAACAAATCATCACGTGACAATCGCGTCATTAATCAATCTGATTGGCTAATACAAGCTAACAAATTACCATCCAGTAATTGGACCTCTCCTGCAAAAATATACGGAGAAACCACAAAGCAACATATTCTTTCATTTCATTTGTTTCAAGCTGTCAGGAAAATATACCTTAAGGTTGAATTTTCAATGACACATGTCTGCAGAGTTAAAAGAACCCACTAATGCCTTAGTATATGACCAGATGGTGGCCACATGAATACGTG